CATGTCTTGCAAGTGCAAGACAAATGCATGTGCTACACAAATCTGTCCATGCAACAGGGGTCATTTGCCGTGTAGTGACCTCGGCCAATGTGTCAATTGTGCAAACTGTCCTGCTATGATTGAAAATGAGAATGATGTGGAAGGGATATACTCAAATGATAATGAGGACTTGGATGATTCAGATGATGTTGTAATGTTTTTCATATATGTTGTAAGTTTTTGATGAAAATATAAAAGATATAAATATGAGAGGTCTGGATTTAAATAATATGATGTAAATATGATATGTTTGGATTTAAATAGTATGATGTCGCGAGGAAAGGTTAAGATAGAAATAATATAACTGTAAATATGAGAGGTTCAGATTTTTATATTGGACATAAATATGGATCCTTAGTTTTTATTGACAGTGAAAATTATATATTATTCCATTTTTTAAAGCAAGGTTTACTTGTAGTTGTAGTAGTTGTTTTTCTCTCATTAAGTTAATAAATGCAATATGATGGAGAGTGAAGTGTCAGTTTTTCAATAATTAAATTAGTAAGAAATTATTTGGACCAAAAACAAGGTTTTTGCATAATAAATTATTTTCTTTTGTCTTGCTATGTCTGTATAAAGTGGAAAATATGTAGTATTCAGGTTCAGTGGCCCTCTGGCAGCGAAAATCTAAACTAAAGGTCTAAATTGCATTTCCATGTTGATTCCATCAGTATTTGCATAAAAAAAACTTTTCTAATGATCAACCTTAATGATTTTAAAGTATTTTTGGTAAAGATCACTTGGTTAAAACCAAAAAAATTGAGATTTTCTTCGTTTTAGCCACCTATAGGCCAGATGTGGAACTACCGAAATTTTAATTGGCCGTAATTAATTAATGTGCAAGTGAAAACGCGGGAACATTGGCTTTTTGAGATCACTGAAGTCCAAAGTATCTAATTAAACTGGAAGAAAGTTGCCCCCAAAAAGTTCAAACGGAAAGTCATCGTACAGATTCTGGCCCACGGACTATGTTGGAGAGTACAGACAGACATAATGAGGTTGGAGAGTTCTTGCTGCCACCATGGGCCTTCCTGCACCAGCCTGAGGAGATTGCCCCTCCCTAAGACTCCTCAGGCTGGCAGGAAGTGGTGGACAGACCCATGCTTCACTGAGGAGGGGCAAAACCAAAAGCAACACCAGGAGGACCCAGCCTCCCCTCCACTCTGCAGGGGAGTCCATGGGGGACTACAACCCTGCAGGGGGGCCAAAGTGGCTCGAGAGGGAGGCGTGGTTCAGCGGTGGTGCTGTGGTTACTTTCCAGAGGATCTGAGGGTCTATTTATATCAAATTTGCTCCATACGTCACAATGATGACACATGCGCACTTGCGTGTTCCAATGATGATGTAATGTTTACTCGTTGCCATGGTGATTGCTTCCGGACTGAGAAACACGCGATAGAATTGGAACGTTAAAAAGTTCAGTCACGTGATCCAAATTCGATAGGTGCAGGTGTCATGTTACGCTGATGAGGACAGGATACATCAGGCTGATACAGTCACTACAGGCTCAGTGGAGACGGTTCATACATGGCAGTTTACAGGAGTTAAAGCGGGACGTCTCAGGGGGCGTGTCCAGCCCCAACGGAGCGGCCAATCAGCTTGTTGGCTTCAGCTGTCAAAATCAAACCACTCATTTACTCTTTGGATTGCAACTGTCTAAGTAGACATTAGTTGACAAAACGCTGTCTGTCCACATAATTAAAGCCTTTCCACCCTGACGCTGTGCTCCAGTACAAACCTGAGCCTCTCCTGACTACAATCACAGTTCAGGTTTTTGGTAGAATGACACCCATGTTGATATAATGAGGTTTAATCCTCTAAAGGCTGATCCAGACAGAGTTGAAAGACAATAAAGTTCTGTTTGGATTTTATTCGGTCCTGTAAAAACATATGAAAGCAGATAGAATTGTTGAAAACCTCAAGTGTGTCACCGTAATGGCCACCTACTGGTCAGTAGAGGAATTACAAGTAAGGTCAAATGAGGTTTGAAAACAAAAAATGAAGCGTTTTGTTTTGTGTTGAGGATTTCCTGACTGAGTTGAGCAGCAGCAGATTGAGACCATGCCATGGAGTGGAGTGGAGTGGAGTGGAGTGGGGGGGCTCTCCCAGGGGGGCAACAGGCAGCAGCAGCCCTAGTGGAGGTGGGGCTCTGAGCAGCAGGTGCCCCTGCACCTCCACTGTGACACACTGATGATTGGGTGGTTGTTTTTAATGTTTAGTCATTTACAGACGCTTTTATCCAAAACGACTTACAAAGTAGACACAAATTTACAGTTCTCATCAACATGACAATAATTCTCTGGAGTGAAATCCCTAGTCAGAATCAGTGGTGGCAGCAAGAGAGAGAGACGGAAGTACAGAACGAGTAGTAGGGCGTAGGGCGGTACAGAGGTCTGGGTAGAACTCAGAAGAGCTCCCAGTACTGCACCTTGAGGAACCCCGATGGTGAGGTGGTGCACTGCAGACGTGTCACCAAGCCAGGAAACTTTGAATGATCTACCAGTGAGGTACGATTCAAACCAGGAGTGTGCTCTCCCTGTAATGCCCATGTTGGAGAGTATAGACAGACATAATGAGGTTGGAGAGTTCTTGCTGCCACCATGGGCCTTCCTGCACCAGCCTGAGGAGATTGCCCCTCCCTAAGACTCCTCAGGCTGGCAGGAAGTGGTGGACAGACCCATGCTTCACTGAGGAGGGGCAAAACCAAAAGCAACACCAGGAGGACCCAGCCTCCCCTCCACCCTGCAGGGGAGTCCATGGGGGACTACAACCCTGCAGGGGGGCCAAAGTGGCTCGAGAGGGAGGCGTGGTTCAGCGGTGATGCTGTGGTTACTTTCCAGAGGATCTGAGGGTCTATTTATAAACTCTGCTTCCATACGTCACTTTGATGACACCTGCGCACTTGCATGTTCCAATGATGATGTAATGTTTACTCGTTGCCATGGTGATTGCTTCCAGACTGAGAAACACGCAATACAATTGGAACGTTAAAAAGTTCAGTCACGTGATCCAAATTCGATAGGAGCAGGTGTGATTTTACGCTGATGAGGACAGGATACATCAGGCTGATACAGTCACTACAGGCTCAGTGGAGACGGTTCATACATGGCAGTTTACAGGAGTTAAAGCGGGACGTCTCAGGGGGCGTGTCCAGCCCCAACGGAGCGGCCAATCAGCTTGTTGGCTTCAGCTGTCAAAATCAAACCACTCATTTACTCTTTGGATTGCAAAGGGCGACTGTCTAAGTAGACATTAGTTGACAAAACGCTGTCTGTCCACATAATTAAAGCCTTTCCACCCTGACGCTCTGCTCCAGTACAAACCTGAGCCTCTCCTGACTACAATCCCTGCTGAAAAATAAATGTGCTAAGTGTACTAAAATGTAGCATACTTTTGGGTACTTGAAGGCACTTCCAGTGTGTTTATGATTAGTTAACTTGAAGCATGCTATTTTGGAACAACTAATTTTGTTCTAAATATATTTAATTGTAATTTAATTGGGGAAAAGCTCAACTTGAAGTGTACTTAGTGTACTTTGATGTGCTAAAGTGGAGCAACTTGAAGTATATATAGGACACTTTAAGTATATGAGT